TCCTGGGGAGGGTGCGGTCGCATTTACAGCCGTCGGCGTCGCGCTTGTGCCGGGTTCCGGCTGAGTGACTGGTGGAGCTGCCGCTTTGCGTGCGCCTATATGGGCGCGAAGAAACGCGGACTTGGGGTCCGCAGGCGGTGGGGCGGCGACCGGCCGCGCGGCAGATTGGGCATCGGACGGTTTGCCGGCAACGTGCGGAGTGACGGAGCGACGTGCTGTTTCTGCGAGGCCGGCGTCGACCACAGGATGCTGCTGCGCGCCCGGGCGGTGGGACTCCATGCGGTGGAGCAACACCCTAAGCGCGTTACTCCCGGGTGGCCCCTGTGCCGAAGCAGCCTTCGCGTCGACCTTGGCGGCAGTAGGGGCTGCTGGAGCTGGAGGGGCCGCACGGGCCTCCCCATGCTTCCCCGCACCTGACTGGCCGGCGGGCCCGGTGGTTGCCGCAGGCGGGTTACATGGTGTCGACTTGGTGGTTCCGGCGACCGTACCAGAAGCAGCCTTCGACTTGGTGGTTCCGGCGACCGTAGCAGAAGCAGCCTTCGACTTGCCGGTTCCGGGGACTGAAGCAGAGGCAGCCTTCGCCGTGCCGGTTCCGGCGACCGTAGCAGACGCAGACATCGCCTTGCCCTTGGCCGGCACCGCGTCAGACGGCCCCTGGGTGGTTCCGGCGCCTCCGACTTTCGCCGCCTGGGCAGTGGGGGCCGCGTCCTTCCCACCGCTCGCCTGAGGATGGGTCTGCTCGGCGTCCAAAGGCGGGCCAGGCGGTGCATCGACGTTAGCCGCGATCCCGTCGGCAGGTCTCCCGTCCGCCCCCCCGCTTCCGCTTCCCTTGCTGGTCGACCCTCCCCTCACCTTCCACCCCTTCGCCTTCAGCATGTCGACCACGCTCCGCGCAGGAGGCTTCGTGACGCGGCTCCCGTCCGATCCCTTGCTCCGCTTCGAGCTCTCCTTGTCGTCACCGTCGCCCGACCTCTTCAGGCCTTGCTTGTCGGCCGCCCTCTGTTGCGCGGCGTCGGCGTCATTGGCCGAAGGCGACGACCCACGTCGACCAGGCGCCACCGTGCCGATCATCTCGGTCAACATCTTCATCCCGGACGCAACGAACGACTGCTCGGTGGCCTCCGTCACCGTCTTCATGATGTCGGCCTTGAACGACTTCAAGAGCTCTTCCGGGAGGGCGGGCGGCGTGGGCTGAGGCGGTGGCGGCGGCTGCACGGGGAGCCTGCCGGTCACAGCTGTGGCGATGTTGACAGCTGCGGCGGACAACTGGCTCGTGATGTGCTCCCGCAAATCCTCCTGCGCATCGCCCACCACCTTGTCGACGTGGTCGGCCAAGGTGGTGACCGCTAAGGCGCGTTGATACGCCACATTTCCCTCCGGGTTGTCGAAGTCCTCCAGCCACGCCGACGCCTGTTCCGCGAAGGTCTTCATCGTCTTCCACGCCTCGTCGAAGCTGCCGGTGATGTTGCCCGTGATGGTCTGCGACATGGCCTCCGCCGCGTTTCGCAGCTGTTCCGCCGCATACTTCTCGGTGTCGTCGACCTGCTCGGCCAACTCCTTCAGGTGGTCGACGAGTCCACGTAGCCCAACAAAAAACGCGTCCAGCCGAGCCCGTTCCGCATCGAGCAAACCCTGCAGCCGAGCGTTCTCCGCCCTCAACAGCAAGTTCTCCCGTCGCAGCTCCTCGACGTCGTCCGTTGCAGGGCCCTGCCGACCAGATGCGTCCCCCGTCTCCTGCACGCCCGCGATGTTCGCACCTTCGCCGGCGTCGACCGACACCTTCGCACCTTCGCATGCCGCCTCCTCCTGGCCCGTTTCCGTCGTTGCCTCCACGCCGACCTCATCCTTTTCCTTCCCCTCACCTGCCGACCCCGTAGCATTACCCGCATCGCCATCCTCCGCTTCCTCGTTCTTCTCGTCCGCCGACCCCACCGCCTCAACCGTGCCGTCTGCGTACTCCAGCTCGTACTCCACCTCCTCCTCCACCCCTTCCTCGTGCGCCGCCTCATCCTTCCCGGCCACCACCTCCACCACCTCATCGTTCTCGTCCTTGCCCTCGTCATCCTCCTCGTCCTCATTCTCCTTCTCCCCTTCGTCCTCCTCCTCCCCCTCCGACTCCGACTCTGAGCCAGAGTCCGTCAACTCCTCTTCCTTCCTCCCTGCGCCTGCCGCATCGTCGCCTAGTCCTCCACCGGTTCCTCCTTCCGCGGACACCGGCAAGTCCTCCTGGCGCTGGGCGGCAGCTGCTGCTTGGGGCGCCGTCTGACTTTCCGCGCCGTCGTCATCAATCGCACCCTCGGCGGGTCCGTCGGCGCCTGAAGTCGGCGCCGCTATCCGGTTTTCGGCGACACGATGGCAGATGTAATCGACCATGCTATCACGGAGCGACCTCAAACCCGCGACCTTGATGTTCTCGATGCTCACAGCGCTCCGAGCCTTGTCGCCCGTCAGCAGGCCGATCTGCTTGGCCACCCACCCGAACGACGTCGCGGCAAGCATGCCGGTGCCGACATGCCCGTCCGACACTGTGCCCGGCACTTTCTGCATACAACACAGGCAAGCGCGGCACAATATGAGCGGTGCATACAGATACGCGCAGACCGTAGCGGAGCCTAAACGTGCAACTCACGTCGCGGATAGGGTCGTCGCAGTCGGCAAGCCTTTCCTCCACCACTGCTTGTGATGGCGGCGCCCCGTCCCACTTCCTACCGGGACGCCCCAGCTCGGCCAGGGCAGCCGTGCGGAATAGCCTGGAGCAACGTAGTGGAGAGGAGGTCAGCATGAGATTCCCTGTGTCGGCGACTAACAAACTCGACAGCGACGACTATTCACAACTTACTTCAGGACGCGGACGGCCTCGTCGCGGTGCTTCCCTTTTCCGGTGTGCGGGTCGATGTGCCGGATCGATGTCCTGCAGACCTGTCCCTCAGCCTTCAGCACATCTCCTGGGTAGAGGATGGCTATGACGCTGCAGTGTGACCCTGGAAGCGGGCCGCCGCTGCACACGCAATAAACGACGGCGTCGACCACAGCATAAGGCGTTGATGCGGCCGACACTGAAAAACGATGACTGGACAACGGGGTAACAGCTCACGTCGATTTCAGCGGGATAGCGGCGATGTCGGCGTCGAAAGCCTTAGCAAAGCAAGAATGGTCGGCGGCTTTCATGGCCGATCGAAGCGGGCCGATCCCGAGCACCCACAACCGCAGGTCGTCCCGCCCAATGTCAAACCAAGCGAACCTGAGCGCACGAGTGAGCACGAGGGATGAGAACATGGCTGGTAAGCAAACGCTGCCATGTCGACGTGCTTCGTCAAACGCGCCCGCCGACGTACGTCGGAAGACAATCGGCGACAGTGCGCCCTACTAGGGTTGGTCGGCACCGACATCTTCCCTATTCGACTACCGCGACTACCCGCGTCCCACCTGATGGCGAGTCCAAAGCATCTCTCGGTGAACTCTTTCTTTTGGTCGCGAAGGACGGCGTAGTCGTTCCACTCTAAGGTGAAGCTGAGACCGCGACCCATTTGCACCCGAAGGGGAAAGTCGGCCGATGTCGGCGCCGACTTATCGGCGGCGGAGATCGGCTCCATATCTGTCGACTAAGAAAAGAGGCGGACGGCTCTGGTAGGAGAGAGGGGAGGCGCAGAGCTGTCAATGTTTGAAAATCCAAAAGAGATGCCAAAAATGCGGAGCGAGGCCACCTTCCACAAAGAAAAGGAGGTGGTGCCCCTCCCCCCCCCCCCCCCAGGCCCGTTCAGCATCGCCCAAGGGTGCAGGGCCTGGCTCGGCAGTGCTCGGAGGGCGGATGCGCAAGTGGCACAGGTGGTCCGTCTCCGCCTTGGTAGAGCGTCGACTTCGCGTCCATTGGCCCAGGTCGGCGAGGGGACGCACGAATCCTCCTGCGCGCGGAGCGACGCTACAATCGACACGTGTCGATTTCGTAGCGGTTCGCGACGATAGAATGCATGCGATGGGAGAGAATTTATTTCCGCCTCGTCAAAAATTTCGCATGCGCCCGATGCGAAGCCACGGGCGAACACGTGGCGCCACCGCTGCGAATCGCGAAATTGTCGAGTGTCCCGAGGGGGGCCCGTATTTTCGCACGGCCCTCGCCTGCCCGTCCGGGCAGGCCGCGATGGGTTACTAGGACCTCGCGGGCAGGCAGCACGTGTGGGCTGCCTTCGCGCGAGGGTAACTTTCCCTCGCGCGAGGGGTCGCCAGTTCGCCGACCCCACCCGGTAACGTGGGTCGCTGTTCAATTTCGGAGCGGGGCTGCGGGGCGGCGGTCGTGCGCTCGGCCCAGCCCTGGGCCAGGCTGGCGGGCCCGCACGCGCGTCAGTCGCCCGCCTCGTCAGGCCCTCCTCCGACGACCCCTCCCGTCGACACTGGCAAAACGGGTCCGACGACCGAGTTCCGATGAGGCTTTCGGCTTCTGAAAATGCTTCACGAAACGGAAGGAATGTGTCAGCTGAGCCGACCAACTCCAGGCCAGGCACAGTGCACAGCGCGCGAACAGACCATAGTGCGCGTGCCACGAAGTGGGTGGAGTGGGATACTGTACACCTAATGCTCGTTAGAGCCCCTCCCGGTTGCCTTGTGAAGGGGGACTGTAAGCTAAAACGTCATTTCGTCGGTTCGTCGAGCGTTTCGTCAGGCTTTGCGCGTGCACATAACGCGCACATGGTTACCAGGCACTTTGTCCGATATGTAACAGTGTCGGGTGGCACCTATTGTCACATGTGCGCGTTACCGAAAACCTTACGAAAGCAAAACAAACCCAGAAAGCAACATCAACACTTGTTCAACTTAGATTGAAACAGTTGACACCCAAAGCCGGGCCAATCACATTCTACCACATGGCCATTCACCCCCGAGCTCAACAACATCCCCTCTACTGCAAATGTGTCCGTTATGTGCACAATCCCAACACTTCACAAATCTTCAAAAATTCCACCATCCCAACCTTCGACTCCTGCTCACGAGTCCACAAACCCAACTCACACGTGCATCCACTCAGCCGCCTCCACGTACCCGCCCATCGCGGCGCCAACCCCGCCGTCCAGAAGCTGCTGACGGCGGGACGGCTGGGTCATCCAGCCAGGCAGCACTCGGCCCCGCGGACGCGGGGTGTCAGGCGGCGGAGTTGCGAAAGGCGAAAGCCTAGGCGGCGGGGCCGTGTTGAGATTGAGAGCGGGGCTTGCCCGCTCCATGCGCTCGATGATGATGGGGTTACGAATGTCGAAGAGGTGGCAAAGGTCGCGCGGGGTCACGCTCACGGCGCGAGCATAGCCGATGAGCATCTCGCAGGCCGCCCGTGCTGTGCGCCGCGCTTCACGGCCCACGGGGTCCGAGTCGTCATAGACCGCCTCCATCGTGGTCGGCGCCCTCCATAGCTCCGCGATCAGGCCCACGTCCGCATCATCAGGAGTCGGGTCCGCCCCCGGCTCCGCGCATGTCGGCTCGCCCTCATCGATGGCGACGTACTCGGCGGCGGTCATTGCGCCGGTGCCGAGGCCGAGCCCGCTTATGAGCTCGCCGACGTCGTCGATGTCGTCGTCGAGCTCAATGTCGGGGTAAGCATGGGGGGTCGGCTCATCATCATGCACATGCGTCAGCTCCATGGACCACGACAGAGGCAGGCAGCCCGTGCGCCACCAGCACCTCTGGATGGTGCGCGCGCCGACACTCATCCAGGCGTCGGAGAGCCACCCCAGCACGTCGCGCTTCACGCACAGCAGCCATGTCGGCGCTCGCCGCCTCGCCGGTGGCGGCACGGCATCGCACTCCCTGGCGCCGCAACGCACGGCGAACCCAACCAATGGAGCAACGGAACACGGGCGGAATGCCCATGTTGCGCGCCATGGTCGCCACGTGGTCGCGGATCGTCTGCAGAGTGAGTGGTACGCCCGCGGGGCCAGCGTTAGCGATCCAGCGCGCCATGGCCTGCTCAAGCTCAGGCCATGCGCCACCTCGACAGCGCACTTGATTAGCGGCAGTGGGTTCGACCAGAGCCCAACGCTCGGCATTCTTCAGGATGCGGCCGACCGTGGAGCGGTCAGGTCGCAGGCCATACTGGGCGTAAACCCAGCGGGCGAGATCTACGTGACGCAGGAGGGGGTGCTCGACGTGATGCGCGCATAATGCGCGCTTGATGTGCAGCGGGAGCTGCTCACGGCGATTAAACCGCGGCATGGTGGGAGGCTGTGGCGGGAGAGAACGATGCTTGAGTGAATTTGCGCATCAGTTTTTAACATTGGTTTGAGGACGAGGTTGAGCAGCGCTGGGGCCCGTTCAGTGTGGCTGGGTTTGATTCGTGTGGTGGTTGTTCGTTGCATGCACCCTGCTTACAATTTCGAATATGTGGTCTGAGTTACCACCAGAGTTATGATCTGACGTGGGGTAGGCGAACAACGCCTGGTTGTTAATGGGCTTGTACCCCACAAATGAGGAATACACGTGGCAGCGTGCACCAGCCCAGATGTCTGTTACACGCACCTTGATCCTCGCCTAGGTGGCGGGGCAGGTGGGCGAATGCATTTACGAAACCACTTTCATTTCGTCCAGTCGTTTCGTCCGATTGACTCCCGGCCTAGAAACAAGGAAAACATGGGTCGGCACTGCTTGTTGTGGTCTGCACGTGGGGGGGAGGCCGGGCCGCGTGCACTGTAGTTAGCCATCCATGTGCCTGTACATGGGGTGCAGCAAGCAGGGGTTTCGACCTCGGGGGCAGCGTGTCCATCCGGTGCATGGCAAATTCGCGTGCACTGGTCGGGCATCATGTGTACTGTAGTTTCGGGAGCGATGGAACAATGGGGTGGCGCGGGACCATTGGGGTGGCGGAAAGTTTTGGTTGCAGAGAGCGAGCGGGAGTGAGGCGCGGAAGGGGTCTGGCTGGTGGTGAATGATGCTGCTGCGCGGAACAACGAGCGGGAAGCGGCCAGCGAACAAGGCCCCGCCGAGGCATGTGTCTCTCGCCGAACGGTTTCCACATCAACGTCAAGGTGAGTAACGGTTATAAACGGTTTTGCCTGCTGGTGTCTTTGAAGTATTGGTTTCCATTACAGAGCAGCAAGTGAGCTATTGTGGTAACACACCCTAAGGGTGAGTGTGAAAACTGCCGTATGAAATAAACAAGTATGTGCAGTAACGGGGACAATTTGACGAATATGTCCTTTCTGTATCGGGGTTTACATACTAAAAAGTAGTATATTAGGCAAGAAAGCAAGAGGCTAGGCAGGAGATTAGCAATGCGCGAAGGAGGTGTGCGTTAACGATCTGGAAAGAAGAAGAGAAATAAACAGCTTTATTACGATCAACTCAAGTTCTCACCTTTTCTTAGTCGACTCGCACAGGTTACACAGAAGCAAATCATGGCGCATCCGCGGCCCAGTCTTTCCGTCAAATTCGGCCTGCTCCTCAGCAAGCTCTATCGCCTTCCCTGGTCGCAGAAGCGTCGCGTGGTAGCCGCATTAGCTATCGCGGGTCTCCTACTCACGCTGATGTTACTATTTCCATTAATGTTCATTTCCGGCACGGATTCTGGTTCTCAACGCAACGCCGGTTATTTCACGTCTTCGTTACAGTCGCCGCTTCGCCCGCCGCTTCGCACGCAGGAATGCAGCCGCTTAGCGCAGGCCGGCTCGGAGCGCGCCATTGGCGCGATGGAGCGGTGGGATCGAATATCGAGAACCTCTACAGCGGGTTTTCCCGCTCGGGATGGTTGCACCGTGGAATACACGTCAGCACCCGGTCCTCCCTCCTCTACCGTCCCTCCTAATCTCAAGCATTCCAAATGCGCGATCGAGTGGGTGACAATATCGAAAGGGCCTGAATCGGGGGGAACCGCTTTTGGAAAATGCTCAGAAAATATTCACCGCCTCGTCGACTCATGCCATATGAATGACATCCCGATCACCATTTTCGGCCTCCATCCATCCACCACTCCCCCGCCTCCGCCTCCCGGCTCTCCCGAACCTTCCTGGATGAATCTCCTCTTTAAATACCTCCACAGCATCCCGCCAGATCGCATAGTAGGCGTTTCGAGCTCTGACAACGTCGTTATGCTGCCGAGCAGGCACTGCGAGCAGCAGCACCTGCTGGAGTCCTTCCTCTCGTTACAGTCACCTGTGGTCTTCGCAGCCAACGACCGCTGCGCGCCCACACCTTCTTCCTCGTCCTCTGCCTCTTCCACTTCCTCGTTTTTCTACAAGCCGCATTCAGCAGAAGGCGCGCCGAACAGGTTTCTTAACCCGAGGATGTTTATAGGGTACGCATGGGCGCTGCAGAGAGTGCTGGAGGTAGTGGTTGGGAGCACCCAAGGGCAAGCTCCCTCCAGCCATCCAGCTTCTGCCGCTGCTGCTGCCGCCGCCGCTGCTGCTGCTGCTGCTGCTTCAGGTACTCACGCTGATGCGCAGAGGCAGCTTCTCCTCGCTTTCCTGGCACAGGATAATATCTTCTCCTCTCTCCCCCGACTGCCCATGGATTTCCCCTTTGCTAACGTCACCGGCACCAGCAAGGAGGGGGGTGATCCTGCGGTTGGGTTGGGAGCAGGGGACAGTGCAGGGAGAGAGGGTGAGGGACAGGATGCTATGGCGCCGCCTGTCACCTTCGCGTCAACTGCACTCGACAACCGCTTTCTTCCGAGTTCCTCCGATCCATCCTCATCGTCATCTTCAGCATCATCAGCAGCAGGAGGATCAGGGGGAGGAGCAGGAGCTGTGTGTGCGGCTTTCCCCGCTCACCCTACAGCGCCCTCCTCCTCTCGTCCTTTTATTTCCCTTGACCACCAGAACGTGCTTTTTCAAGTGCTGGGTGCACGTGGGGCTGCAGCTCCAGCGGGGAAGGAAGTGGAAGTGGTGGCGTCGGGGGAGGATGTGCGAGTAAAGGCGGAAGGGACGGGAGGGGAGGCGTGTGCGTTTCAGCAGGAGGATTGGGTGGGTGGAGGAGGGGAGGGGGCGGAACTGGGTGTTGTGAGGTTGATTAAGGATGTTGGGATCGACCAGCTGAGGAAGGAGAGGGGTTACATTGTGTAGGCACTTATGGCTTGGGGGGAAAGAAGTGGGGGCTTTGAAGCTTCGTGACGACTCCATCCATGACAATGTAGAGTGGGTTGATTCGTGGATTGATTTGAGGCGCCTTGGTTGGTGTCAAATGTTGTAGCCTATAGTGAGGTTTGTCTTAGGGGGTACAAAACTTAGGGTTAGCTATATGTACCCCAACCAACATCAATGGATCATTCATTCCTCATTCTGACATGGTATCAGTTAGGTTAGGATCCTGTGGGATCCCGTTTCTCCGTTCTCCGATCGTACCACCCGAGCCTGATCCTAGCTCTCGTTTCGCCCGTCTTGCCCGAGCCTAGTGCCGGCCCGATCTAGTCCCGTTCGTTCGTTACCGCTCGTTCTTCCTCCCGATCTAGCGTAGCCCGATCTAGCGTACCGCTGCCGGTCGCGCTGCGCTTTCCCCCGCTGCCCGTCGACCCGCGCTTCCCCCCGCTGCCCGTCGACCCGCGCTTCCCCCCGCTGCCCGTCGACCCGCGCTTCCCCCCGCTGCCCGTCGACCCGCGCTTCCCCCCGCTGCCCGTCGACCCGCGCTTCCCCCCGCTGCCCGTCGACCCGCGCTTCCCCCCGCTGCCCGTCGACCCGCGCTTCCCCCCGCTGCCCGTCGACCCGCGCTTCCCCCCGCTGCCCGTCGACCCGCGCTTCCCCCGCCGCCCGTCGACCCGCGCTTCCCCCCGCTGCCCGTCGACCCGCGCTTCCCCCCGCTGCCTGTCGACCCGCGTTTCCCCCTGCTGCCCGTCGATCCGTCGCCCTGGCCCGCGCCCCAGCCCGTCTCCCCAGCTCGCGCCCTAGCCCGTCGCCCAGGCCCGGCGCCTTTGCCCTACCCGCGCGCCCGCCACACCTGACCTACCCGCCCGCTCTTGCCCGCTCTTCCTGCCCGTTCTCCCTTGCCGCTGCGCCCTGCTTTCCCTGCCAATTCCGTTTGCACACTATGGCGACCCCTCGCGTCCTTCGTTTCGATGCTGACGGTCGCCCGCTCGATTTCCCAGTCTGGCTTCTTCGCGCTCGCCGCCTGTTAGAGAGTCAGGTCCAGGCAGGCGAGACCCTCTGGGCGCACGCTACTGGTGCCCTACCTGCGCCCCCCGACCCTACGCCTTTAGGACCTGCCCCTGACGACGCCGCTAGAGCCCGCTTTGCCACTCAGCGAGCTGACCAGACGGCTTGGACGTCACGTGACGCTGCGGCCTGCATCGCGCTCAGCAGCCTCCTCCCTGAGTCTGAGGAGGTTCACTTCACTCAGGTTCGCACCGCTGCTGCGTACCTCACTGCGATTAAGGCCCGCTACTCTACTCCCGCTGCTGTCTCTCTTGGTCGCCTGTTCCTCCCGTTCCTGTTTCCTGACCTAGCGTCTTTTGAGCGCTCTGCTGACTTGATCGCTCACCTCCGCTCGCTCGACGCTAGTTACCGCGCTGCTTGCACTGAGGCACAGCTTGCACTGCTTCCTCCCCCTATGGCGATTACTATCTATTTCATCGCCACTAGCCTCCCTGACCGCCTTGCCTCCGTTCGCGACGCGCTTCTGCTGAAGCACCCTAGTGAGCTCACCATCGAGGTCCTTGAGTCTGCACTCAAGGACGTCGAGAGCAACCTTCGCTCGGTAGCCGCTGCCTCTGGTGCTGTGCCCCCCCCCACGGGTGCACAGTCCCGCAGTTACCCACCTTTACTGCCTCACTTGCCACTGCCGCTACTGACGCGACTGCAGCTGCTGTTACGACTGCGTCGCGGTCCCGCGGTAGGAGTGGCAAGAAAGGCGGTTCTGGTGGTGGTAGTGGAGGTGGAGGCGGAGGTAGTGGAGGTGGCGTTGCGCCTGGCGGCGGTGGAGGTTCAGGGCCTGGAGAGGCGCCTCGTGCAGTGACTGGTGACTCCACTGCGCCTGCTGGTGGTGGCGACGCCCGAGTTCGTCAGTCGCCTCCTGTACTTCCTGCCCCGGTTGGTGGAGCAGCGGCGTGGTACCAGGCTCAGCGTCAGCAGCAGCTTCTGCAGCACCAGCAGCCCCTCTCCTCCCAGCAGCCTCAGCAGCAGCAGCGGCAGCAGCTGGCTCCAGGGTCGGGGCTGCGTCAGACCCAGCGCGGTGCTGCTTACACTCCCTGCACCTACCAGGTTCTGACAGGCCCTCGTCGTGGCCACCCTTGTGGCCGGTTTCACCCCCCTGGTCAGTGCTTTGCTCAGCTCACTGACACGGTTCGTTTGGTCTACGGGGTTGGTGCTCCTGCCCCTGACTGGCTGCCTCTTGTTCAGCGCTACGGCTCCGCTCTGTGGGGCATGTCTGCTGAGCAGTTAGTTGATCTGATTGGTACTCCCCATGCTATGTATGCTGTTGTTGACTCTAGTGTTTCTGACTCTGCTTACTCTGGTGTTGTTAGCTTAGGTGCTAGCCTTGCTCAGTTGCCTGTTGCTAGTGTAGGTTCTTGTGTAGACTCTAGTCCAGCGGCTACCTCAGAGGACGGTTCGCTGTCGTTCACGCTGGACTCTGGAGCTTCTCACTGCTTCTTTCGTGACAGCACGACACTTACGCCTCTTCCTGCGCCTGTTTCTGTGGCGCTGGCTGATCCCACTTCGGGACCAGTCACCGCGCGTCACACTACCACCTTGCCGTGTCCGGCTGCTCCTTCTGGGTCTCTCACTGGGTTTCACGTCCCCTCGTTCTCCCGGAACTTGGTGGGCGTGCGACCCCTCGTGAGTCAGCACGTGGGTGTGTGGTTTGAGCCTTCTGGAGAGACTGCGGTGTGTGTTGACGGGGACTCTTACCAGCCCCTCGCCACTTTTGCTGCTGAGCCGGGCTCCGGTCTCTACACTCTTCACACTCGCCCGCGCGCTCAGCAGCGACTGCAGCAGCAGCAGCAGCCGCAGCAGCAGCAGCAGCAGCCGCAGCAGCAGCAGCAGCAGCAGCAGCCGCAGCAGCAGCAGCGGCGGCAGCCGCAGCCGCAGCCACAGCCGCCCCTCCTGCCCCCGGCCCCTGTTTTGCCTCCCGTTCGAGTCCTCGCGTCTCACCAGGTTGCTCCGTCCCCCCAGGTAGCTGTGTCTTGTCAGGTTCCTCCGTCTAGTCCGGTCGCTGCGTCGTGCTCCTGTCGGTCGCTTGCCCACCCCACCGTTTTGTGGCACCACCGGCTGGGACACCCTTCTCTTCCACGTCTGCGTGCTATGTCTAGTCAGCGTCTGGTCTTAGGTCTCCCGCGTGTCTTGCCGTCGCTGCCGCCGTCTCTTGCACCACCGTGCGGTCCTTGCATCGAGGGTCGGCTGCGCGCCACCCCTCACTCCTCCTCCCTTCGTCCGGCCACCGAGCCTTTTGAGACGCTGCACTTGGACGTCTGGGGCCCCTCTCCTCGCCCTGGCCCTGAGCGTGAGCGTTTCTTTTTGGTGGTCGTTGACGACTACTCCCGCTACACCACAGTGTTCCCCCTGGCGAGGAAGTCTGAGGTGACTTCTACGCTGATCAGGTGGTTGCTTACCACCCAGGACACTCGTGGTCGTCGTGTCAGCTGTCTCCACTCCGACCGCGGGGGCGAGTTTCGCTCCGGCATTCTCGCTGGATTCTGTCGCGAACAGGGCATTCGTCAGTCCTGGACGCTTCCGGAGTCCCCACAGCAGAATGGGGTTGCTGAGCGTCGCATAGGCCTGGTCATGGAGATTGCCCGCACCTCCTTGACTCACGCCCGTGCCCCCCATTTCCTGTGGCCATACGCGGTCAGGTACGCCGCGCACCAGCTGAACCTCTGGCCACGCGTCTCTCGGCCGGAGGCTTCACCGACCAGTCTTTGGACAGGGTCCCCTGGTGTCGCGTCGAGGTTTCGTGTCTGGGGGTGCTTGGCTCTTGTCCGCGACACCTCCGCGGACAAGCTCTCGCCTCGCGCCGTTCCTTGTGTCTTCCTTGGTTTCCCTGAGGACTCCTCTGACTTCACCTTTTACCACCCTCCCTCTCACCGGTTCTTTGACTCCCGTGACGTCCGTTTCGAGGAGTCCACCCCCTACTACGTCAGGTACCCCAGTCGAGGTCTCCCGGTCCCTCCCCCCCCTCTCTTCCTGACCGCCGCTCCCCCGCCTGCTCCCCCGGTACAGCCTCCCCCCCCTGGTCCAGCCCCGTCTGGTGTGTCTCAGGCTAGCCCTCCCCCTTCGGTAGCCCCCCCTGTACAGCCTCCCTCCCCACAGTCTTCCTCGCCGCCTCCTGCAGGTGCTCCCTCTCGAGAGGTTGGTCCTGCGACTGTCCCTGTACAGGTCTCTGGTTCTGGGGGTGCTGGAGTTGGAGCTGAGCCGCGGGTTGCAGAGGACTCTTGTCTTCCGGGGGCTGGTACTGGTCGTGCGGAGTCTGGGGGTGCTGGTGCGGAGTCTGGGGGTGCTGCGTCTGGGGGTGAGGGTGTCCCTTCGGTTTCTGGAGAGCCTGGGTCTGGAGCTGGTGTTGGTGCTGCCTCTGGGGGTGGTGTGCTTGGTGCTTCGGAGGTCGACTCTGGGGCTGCCGCTGCCCCGGACACTACTCCTTCCCCCCACCCCTACCCGACCAGGTTCCAGGCTCGTGTTCGCCGTGCTCGTGAGGAGCAGCTGGAGTTGGAGAGAGAGGAGAGAGAGTTGCAGCGGCTCGAGGAGCAGGAGCGACAGCAGCAGGAGCAGCAGCAGGAGCAGCAGCAGAGGCAGCAGCCGCTGGAGCAGCAGCAGCCGCAGCAGCCGCAGCAGCAGCTGCTGCCGTCTCCTCCTCCTGTCTCGGGTCTTCGGACCCTTGGTCTCCCGTCTCCCTCTCCTTCCTCCTCCCCCTCTCCTCCCATCTCTGGTCCTCCGCTTCCTCCTCCTGACCCCTCTCCCGCTGTTTTCCCTCGTTCTCAGTCTTCGTTGTCTCCTCCTCCTTCTCAGACTTGGGCCTCTCGTCGCTCCCCTCGTGCTCGTCCCTCGTCTCCTGTTCCCTTCACTGACCTTCGTACAGCCTTCCTTTGTTCTCGTCCACCTCGTCCGTCTCCGTCTGTGCTTCCGTCTCCTCCTGAGTCGGCCCTCACTGTGTCGCTTCCTTCTCCTGTCACTGACTACTACCGCACGTACCGTCCTGTTCTCTCTCGTGTTCTCGCCTCTCTTGTTACCCACCCTCGTGCCTCTGTGTCCTCTGTGTCCGCTCTTACTGCCGCAGTCACTGAGTTTGCCTCTACCCGCCGCCTTGACTTCGCCACCGCTCTTGTGGCTGCTCCTCCTTCCAGTCCTCTGGCCGTCGGGGGTGTGTCTGCCCTTGGCAGTGACGCCCTAGAGGACAGGCAGTTTGAGCTAGAGTTCCTGGCGGCCGCTTCCCCTCATCTCTGTGCCATGCTCCTCGCCCCTGAGGGTGACCCCGACGCCCTTGACATTCCGACTCCTCGCACTTACGCTGAGGCAGTGTCAGGGCCTTGGGCCTCTCAGTGGAGAGCTGCCATGGACGCAGAGATGGCCTCCTACAGATCCACAGGCACCTACGTCGATGAGGTTCCCCCTCCGGGGGCGAACGTAGTCGACGGCATGTGGATCTACAGGGTGAAGCGGCCACCGGGATCTCCTCCGGTCTTCAAGGCGCGCTACGTGGCTAGAGGTTTCAGTCAGCGCGAGGGAGTTGACTTCTTTCAGACCTTCGCGCCCACCCCGAAGATGACCACTCTTCGGGTGTTACTACACGTAGCAGCACAGAGAGACTACGAGTTACACTCTCTCGACTTCTCTACTGCTTTCCTTCAGGGCAGTCTTCACGAGGAGGTCTGGTTGCGTCGTCCCTCTGCCTTCACTGGCTCTTTCCCTCCTGGGACCCAGTGGAGGCTGAGGCGACCGGTTTACGGTCTTCGTCAGGCTCCTCGTGAGTGGCACGACACCCTGCGTTCTACCCTGTCTGACCTTGGGTTCCAGCCGTCTTCTGCTGACCCGTCGCTGTTCGTTCGTCGTGGCCCCACACCTTTCTTTGTTCTGGTCTACGTTGACGACCTTGTTTTCGCCACCCCTGACAGGGTTGCTTTGGCACACGTGAAGTCCGAACTGCAGAAGAGACATACCTGCACTGACCTAGGTGAGCTGCGCCACTACCTTGGCCTGCAGATCACCAGGGACAGAGCTGCTCGCACCATTACACTTTCACAGTCGCACATGGTGCAGCAGGTCCTTCAGCGGTTCGGGCTTCAGCACTCCACAGTACAGCGCACACCTCTTGCTGTTGACCACAGACTCACTGGACCCTTTCCTGACGAGCCGTTCGAGCCTAGTGGTCCCTACGCTGAGCTTGTGGGTTGCCTCATGTACCTGATGACTTGTACTCGCCCGGACCTCGCCTTCCCTCTCAGCGTTCTTGCGCGCTTTGTTGCGCCAGGGAGACACCGTCCTGTTCACTGGACAGCAGCTGTGAGGGTGGCGAAGTACCTAGCGACGACGTCAGGCGTGGGGCTAGTTCTTGGAGGGCAGCAGTCTGTCGTACTTACTGGTCACTGTGACTCCTCTTACGCTGACGACGCTGAGACTCACAGGTCTACTCAGGGGTACTGTTTCAGCCTGGGTTCTGGAGCTGTTTCCTGGCGGTCCACGCGCTCCTCTTCGGTCTCGACCTCTACAGCTGAGGCTGAGATCTACGCTGGTGCCATGGCGGCACAGGAGCTGCGTTGGTTGACCTTCTTGCTCACCGACCTTGGTGAGCGGCCGAGCTCTGCACCGACCTTGTTCACTGACAACAAGGCGTCTATTCTCCTTTGTCGAGAGCCACGACTGGAGAGCAGAGTGAAGCACATTCACGTCAGGTACTTTCTTCTGCGAGAGTTGCAGAGGCGTGGACAGGCTCGCTTTGAGTTTGTGGAGTCCGAGGCCAACACTGCAGACATCTTCACCAAGGCGCTTCCGCCTTGTGACCACCAGAGGTGCTGTGTGCAGTTAGGCCTTGTTGACACTGGTTCTCGTGTTGCTTAGACTTGAGTGTACTGTTTACTTTGCTTTCTATATACCTCTGTTACTTCTTGGACTGGCCTTGTGGCCACTGTTGTTTGTGCTCAGACTGTGTGGTGACGTTGTGATCCACCCTGAGCTTTGTTTCTTGGACTGGTCTTGTGACCGTACTCGTTTGGTTCTGCTAGACACCCCTCACTTAGGCTATGGGGGTGTGTCAAATGTTGTAGCCTATAGTGAGGTTTGTCTTAGGGGGTACAAAACTTAGGGTTAGCTATATGTACCCCAACCAACATCAATGGATCATTCATTCCTCATTCTGACAGTTGGGAGGTAGAAGTTGGCTTGGCTTGCCTAATTTGATATTTCCCTGGACATGACATACTGTATGCTTTTGTTATGCATACCTCCCTCCCTGTTTCTATGATTGACTTTGAAGTTGGTGAATCTTGATGGACGAAGCGTCTGTCTCTTACTCATAAGCCCTGTAGCGTTAAAAAATTACGTTAATAAAAGCCCACAGTCAGGTTAGTATCATACGGTAATTTGTCCAGACTTGTTTGGGGGTTGCTCGTTATCACCATAAAGTCAGTGTTGTTCTCAAAACAATCTCCGGACGTACACGCGTTTTCTCTAAAACGCGAACAGCGTTCCAACCAACCAAGCTTCCCGCTTCGTCCAGCAGACCAGGTCACAGGGGGTCAATGTCACACGTGGTGCAGCTGGCTCTTGATTGCCTGCAAAAGGTTCCAGAAGTCACGCCAGATCCTCAGCACTTTTCAGATCCACAGATCTGACGTGGAGAGAGGTGGACCCTATTTACCACCTCCGTGGCTAGACTGGTGGCAACAGTGGAGCCACGCGGCTCAGAACACTGGGCAGTGAGGTGGACCGTCCACCGTGGTGGTTCATCTGTGCAGCCACGTCTCCCGATGAATTTTCATTCCCTTTCTGGCTTCGAGCTCCAGCCCTCCCCCCAATGTCAATTTCAATTCGCGGCTTGGCAAACACATAAATTCACACGCGCAAAACTGGTTCACATCAACTCGAAAAACCAGCATCCACAAGAATTCTCATTTAAACTTCCGCACCGACGATCCCACCCATTACTACTCAATCCTAATCACAATGGCTTCCTCCCTCATCGCACGACAGACGCTCTCTGCTCTCACCTTCAGCACAGCAGTGAAGGGCGCGTCTCTCTCAACCAATCGCCTGGCAGCAGCTCCCGTCATTGTTCCCCGCGGACATGGTGTCACCGCCCTCCTCGGGTTCAACAAAACCGCAGTTCCCGTCAAATCCACCCCTGTGAAGAAGCAACTCCGCACAGAGGACGGTATCTTCGGCACATCCGGCGGCTTCGGCTTCACGAAAGCCAACGAGCTCTTCGTCGGCCGCGTGGCGATGCTCGGATTCGCCGCGTCGCTCCTCGGCGAAGCGGTAACTGGGCAAGGAATACTTTCGCAACTCAACCTCGAAACCGGGATCCCCATTACGGAAGCCGAGCCGCTCCTCCTCTTCTTCATCGCATTCACCGTGCTCGGTGCGATCGGCGGGCTGGGCGATCGCGGGAGATTCGTTGACGACGAGGCGCCTGCGGGTCCGCCGGTGAAGCCGGGGAGCTTCAAGGCCGCGCTTGGGCTGAGTGAGAACGGCCCGCTGTTCGGATTTACCAAGGCGAATGAGCTATTCGTGGGGCGCATGGCGCAGCTAGGGTTTGCGGCAAGCTTGATTGGTGAGGTGATCACCGGGAGAGGCGCTTTGGCGCAGTTGAATATCGAGACTGGGTTGCCTATTTGGGAGTTGGAGCCTCTGCTGCTGGCGAGTATCGCTTTCTTTTTCGTCGCGGCTATTAACCCCGGTACAGGGAAGTTTATCAACGATGAAGAGTAAAGTATGGAGTACCTGTATATACTATACAGAGAATTCTAGGTCGCTTTCTTGTACACATGAATTTATCAACGAATTTGTTGCCCTCACTCCATGCCGGTAGCAGATGGTCGTGCACTCCATGAATTTCCGGAACAACTGGCGTGTAAGACAAGAGTGAGAAGCCGTCCCCCCACTAGCAAATCGCACATCCCCTTTGACCGTAATCCTACAATTCTCTGTGATATATATGACATCATGGCATTATCATTCAAGTTGCAAGGCTAATGCTATTAAAATGCATGCTGAATAATCTACACATCCTTCACAAATTCGTCTGCATCACAGAAATCCATGGTGCTGCTAACTCAGACCCGTCACTTCAAGATGGCCGCGCCAGTGGAATTTGGGGCTAATATCGAGCATCGAAACATGCTACAATCTAGAGTTTGAGGCGCATGAGATTGTGCATGAGGGTAAGTAACTATTAGCCTGTGTTTCACGTGCTCAACTTAGGTGGGACACATGTTTGGCAGTCATACAGAGAGGCAGCGGCTCCCTCGCTGCAACTGGAGGGCACACAAAACTCCAAGCGAGACTGGCGAGGCACGGGTTTCAGATCTTCGCTCCCAGGGCTACCTACCAGCGACTCTAGCATGCGATTCGACGTAATTACTGAACCCTGCTGCTGGCGCCTGTTCTAAAGCTAGAAGTTTGAATACTTTCGGTAAGCAACAGCATAACCTGGAACGAGTACCTTTTGACCTTCCTAGGTGAGACTGACGGCGTTGTTTCAAATGTTGCAAGCGTCTATTCGGTTTGAAGGGTGAGGTGAAGCAGAGGTTGTTCCCCAAAGTGGCGAGAGTGCGGTTGGTGTAACAATGTGTACTCGGATATCGAATTGAATTCTGAATTTATTGTTTATCAGTTGCATTTGTGAGATTGTATCCTTTCTTTGTAAATCCACAGCTGGCCTGCCCTCTTATCATCATTCACATTTCTTTTTCCATGTCTCTCGTCAGATCTTGTAGTGTTTTCCTGCTTATCACGTTGCACTGTCATGCAATGGAGACTTCAAGCAGTCAGATTGAGACGAAGCCCGAGCAGGGGGTCATCAGGGGATTGCAGTGCGCAGTTCGTGAAACAAAACTTGCACAACAGCTACGGTAGTTACAAGTGGCGAGAATGTTGACATTACTTTGAATCTCAACACATGCGTAATGAAACAAGACAGATCTTATGCACAAATTAGCATGATAGGTATGTCATTACTAGTCGAGTGTCACCTGGAGTCTCCACGTAAAACACCAAGAGGCCGACTTTCAAGGGTTTTCACGAAGGTTGCAGGACTTCTACTTGTGCTTGCGACCGTGCCTGAAGTGCTTGCCAATCCGGTGACCCAGGCCCTTGTGCTTGTGACCTCCGTGGTGTCCATAGTGACCGTGGCCCTTGTGGTGGCCGTGGTGTCCCTTGAAGTGGCCCTTGAAGTGTTTGCCCTTGCCCTTCTTCTCACTGCCGTATCCGCCCGTGAGACCAGTCACGACCACATCCCCACGCGGCGCGGGTCCACCTGAAAGTGGATTTTGAACACGAGAATTACGATCATAAGCAAAATTGGATATTCAGAGAAAAGAACGATACATGATGTTGGAAAGCGTGGAGTTGGATCGGTGAGGTTAAGATCGAGCCGCACCTGGGAGAGGATAGTCATACGGGCTGGGGTCGCTTCCGCCGTCTGACAAAACGGAAAGATCACACGGCCTAAGTCAGTACTGCCATACCAAGGAACAACTGCTGGGAATGGCGGAAGCAATTTCACTCACAGTAAGACATTTTGACGGTCGAAAGGAAGCTAACTCCAAATGTGTAAAGGAATGACGGGAAGGAAACGGCGAGAAAGAAGAGATGACAGGTGAATATACGAGCATGCGCTTGCCAAATTCGAGCAATCGGATGCGAGGAAGCCCCTGGCTGGTTCAAGACTGCTGCTGGGTCCACTGGTGCTTCCTCCGTCGGTGCTGCACTTCCTCCGTGACCCGGTGATCTCGCGGTAAACTCCAAGGTGGCAGCCCCTCATTCGCGGCAAAGTCAGCACAGTGAATGCATGCGTGTTGTTGAGTGCCACGGAGGTCGATACACGCTGGCGAGAGATTTCCTTTCGGAAGGTGGCCAAACCACCGACAAGCCAACATCCAATCACAAATCAAGTAAGAAGGGGCACCCCCGCGAAAGGCCATTGTAACGAAGAGTTACTTGACATTACGAAACTTCTCGAGTTCCCGATTGTAACCCTGCTCGTGTGTGTTGAAGCGCACAAAGGGCTCAACTCACAAATTGGATGGTCCAGTATGAAAGCAAGATATATATAACGAGTTTCTCAAAACAAGTTTTTCGCGCCTCGCCTCGCCTCGCCTACTCTGACACATTCCACCTGGAGATCGTCGTCAAAGAGCCGTTGCAATCAGAGTATTCATTGCTTCCAGCATTTGGCAAATTCAGTATCAGAAGTCTCCACTTATTTGAATCCATGTATGAAACTATTGAAGTGAGCAAGCGATTACGTGACTGATACTTTCCACTTTTGTGATCTGCTAGGGCAATGTACGAATCTACTACTAGGCTGATTATGTGCTCCGTCGAAACACGCTGGGACTAGTAGTCGCGTGTTCTTCCTAGCCTACATCACGAAACCTTACACGATATTGTAGCGTTTCTGCACACGCTTGTACGCGCTTTCACGAGAATTGAGACTGTTCGCAACGATTTGCGAAATGAGGAGGGGCGGAGCGCGGGCTGACATGCAGCGCGGGATCGTGGTGGTTGCGCCCGCACTCGATGCTATATTCAAGGCGGCTCGGTCGTCCGGGACTCTCAACCTCTCAGGAAAAGATCTCAAGTACGAAACCACGAATTCTGGGAATGGACACCTTTTCAATCATTATGTGCTGTATACTTCTGGTATTGCCGAGTGCGTCTAAATTCTTGTCGCCCTGACATGTCGTCTTCCATCACTTTTCAATTTGACTTAAAAATACCTAGAAAGTAACCTAATAACCTGATCTCGACTTAAAAATCAGCAGGAGAGTCGACTCGAAAACCACTCGTATCACCTCCGATTCAGGTGGCCTCATCACGTCGCTTCCATCCCCCGTGCGGCGTGTCTCACAGGGAAGTGCCTCCTGAGGTATATTCGCTGCTGGACGACGTCCCTCAGTCCGAGAAGTGGTGGGAGGTGCGTTGGTGGGGCATACATTTACTGTCTGTAGTGAGATGCGTGTGTGGTGAGAGATGAGCGTTGTCCCGAGTTTTTGTCCCGAGTTATTTGTCCCGAGTTTCGATTCGCTGTTGGACGACGTCCCTCAGTCCGGAAGTGGTGGGAGCTGCGTTGGAGTGTATGTCTTTACCCTGCATGTGTCGACCGTGTGTCTAGGTGCCTCTGTAGCGAAAGATCGCGTGTAGCTGCGGGTGACTCCCCCCGAGGTGCACTCGCTGCTGGATTTAGTCCCTCTGCCCGAGAAGTGGTGGGAAGTGCGTTGGTGTGAATCCCTTCGCCCTTCATGCCTTGACTGTCTGTGGTAGATGTGTGTGTGGTGAGAGATCATGATGTATGTCTGTGGTACATGATACGCGTTGTTACTGACATACATGATGTGCGTTGTTACTGGTGATTTCTCCCGGCTTCTACTAGCTACTGGATGACGCCCCTCAGCCCGAAAAGTGGTGGGTGGGAGGTGCGTCGGAAGGGAGAGGCTGCTGTGCATGCGTCGAGCGTGTATGCCTTGACTTGGTGTGGTAGTTGCGTCCGTCCATGCGGAATATGCCGCGTAGTGTACTCGATGCCGGATGACGTTCCATATTCCGGGAAATAAAGATTGTTATGTTTTTAGATATTATTTCGCTGATAATGGCCACTACATTCCCCCATCCCCCCTTATCTCACCTCATTCCGCCCCATTTCCCCCACCCCCCACCCCTCAGGCCGTGGAGCTGCAGATTGCCCAGTTTATCCCCGCCACTGCCTGTCCGCTCTCTCTTCCGCCTTCTCCCCTCATCCCCCCCGTCCCCCCATCCTATTCCCCCCCTTTCCCCAGGCTGTACAGCTGCAGATCGGCCAGTTTTTCCCCGCCACTGCCTGTCCGCTCTCTCTTCCGCTTTCTCCTCTCATCCCCCCCGTTCCCTCATCCCCCCCGTCCCCCCATCCTCCCCCTCCCCTCCCCAGGCCGTGGAGCTGCAGAAAGCGCTGCTGTCGCACAACAGCCTCACGCATATCTCAGAGGAGATCGGCCGCTTTGTCCCCCCTTCCCCACCGCGCACCCCCTCTTCTCCCCCCATCCCCTTCTCTCACGTTTCCTCCCCCAGGCGGTGGAGCTGCAGAAAGCGCTGCTGTCACACAACAGCCTCACGCGTATCTCGGAGGAACTTGGCCGCCTGCCCTGCCTCACGTGGCTTGATGTCAGCTACAACGCCCTGCCCCGCCTGCCTGCTGCCGTCGGCAAGTGAGTGTATCGTGTGGTGTATGGGATGTACGAATTGTGTTGTCTGGGCTCCGTCCCCTCATTCTCCACTGTTATCCACCGCTCTCCACTGCTCTCCACTGCACTCCACTCAGGCTAGTGGAGCTCAAGAGTCTGCTGGCAAGCCGCAACAAGGATGACTTTTGAATCAGCTAGAAGATATCTTTGTCCCCTCATTCTCCACTGCAATCCACTGCACCCACTGCACCCCACCGCACTCCACTGCACCCACTGCACCCCACCGCACTCCACTACACTCCACTGCACTCCACCCAGGCTAGTGGAGCTCAAGAACCTGCTGGCAAGTCACAACAAGCTGGAGTCGCTGCCAGAGGAGATTGGCGGTGCAGTGAACCTGGTCAAGTGAGTGCAGCAGCGGCAGAAAAACGGGCTAAGCCAAGAGCAGTAGGCTGGCAGGAGGCCTTGTTGCACCCTACAACGTTTACCTCCCTGCTTATCGTTCTTATCACCAAATGTCATGTTTTCTATACATTTTCCGTCCCGACCAATCACTGTGCCCGCCAATCAGTATCCCCAACAATCACTGTGCATGCTGAACGTCTCCCATAACTTGTTGAAAGGCCTTCCTGCTGCGCTTGCCGCCTGCACACTCCACGTCCTTTTTATCACTGTCCCCTTGCCAATTACTGTGCCACTGTCCCCCCCAATCATGGTGCAGGCTGGACGTCTCCCACAACGTGCTGGAAGGGCTGCCTGCTGCGCTTGCCGCCTGCACACTCCTCACCCACCTTGAGGTCTGCCACCCTTGCTCCTACCTCGTTCCCGTCCCCTCGTTTCCAAACTTGCTCGGGGGGGAGCTTTCTTCTTGGAGCCAGCATTTTGACAAGCCTTGCGGGTGTTTCCCCTGGCTCCTCCTATTTTCTGCAGGCCTGCTCCAATCGCATCGCAACCCTGCCGGCCTCCTTGGGTGCCTGCACTGCGCTCTCTCATCTCAATCTCGAGGTGTGTGGTGCTCCTGCTTGACTCATCTCGGTTGCTTGCTAACCCTTTGCCTGTCTTTCTCTCGTCTCGTCCCGCTGGTCAACTTTGGTGTTTCATAAGTGCATCCTTGTACCATGGCCCATCCACACGTTTCTGGGGTCTACTTACATGCGCGCATCTGTGCTTGGACTTGTTGTGAAGCGCGTCTGTGTTTCCGGTCGAGCTTCACAACACATCCAAACACAGGCGCGCTTCAAGATGCGACTTAATAGACGTGCCCCAATCCTTTTTATGTCGCATTCTGTCTTGAAAGAGTGCCTCCCTCATCCCTCCCCCATCTCTCTCCCCACACACCAAATGTGGATTCGATTGTTCCTGCTCTTCTCTAAAACCAAGAATTCGTTTTCTCTTTTCTTTCCTCTTTTCCTTGTCCAGTTTTCCGCTCCTCAACTCACCCGCCTGTTTTTCCCCCCTTTCTTCCTCGCCCCACCACAGAACAACCAGCTGCAGAGCATCCCCTCGCCTCTGCTCTCCTCACTCCGCAACCTCAGGCATCTCGACCTTGGTATGGCACCTCTCCACCTTGCTACCTCCTCGTACTCTCTCCGCTCGCCTCATCTCTTCGCATCTTGTCTCCTGTTGTCTCATCTCGTCTCGTCTCATCTTGTCTCCTCTCGTCTCATCTCGTCTCATCATCCCCTTGTCTTCTTCCCACAACCCACGGCACAGCAAGCTGTAGGTTCTCCCTGACTACATAGGAGGCCGCAACTAGGGCCTCTCGTCCCTCTGCCTCAACCAAGGCCGTTTGACATTTCTCCTTTTTTTTTTTTTTTTTTTTTTTTTTGGTCTCCACTCAACTCAACTCATCTTGTCTTGTCTCGTATCTCCTACCTCTTTTTCCACGGCACAGGGCGCAACAAGCTGCAGTCTCTCCCTGACGACATTGGAGGCCTCTCGTCCCTCCTACACCTCAACGCCTTTCAGAACTGTGTGTCATACAACCCATGCATCCAAAATACATGCCCTTATTAATTTGGTTCTAGCATGTATCCACCCATGCATGATCAATCGTTAGGGAATATGACTGTTTATGTTCCCCGCACACTCCTTTGAGCCCTTTCCCTGCTTTTTCATTCTTCTTGTATGACTATCTACAGGTATATACTTGGATGAGTCTGTATATATCTAGATATTTGTGCCGTTCCTCTACCCTCGGCACAAATCCTTCTGCTTTGATCCATGCTGTCGCCCACACATACTCCTCTCTTCATCCTCCCCCCTCCCCTTTCCCACCCCCACTGCCTCCTCGCTCCCACTTCCCATCCCCCTCACACCTCTCCCCCGTTCTTTCTCCATCCCTCCTCACACCTCTCCCCCGTTCTCCATCCCTCCTCACACCTCTCCCCATTCTTCATCTCTCCTCACACCTCTCCCGCGTTCTTCATCCCTCCCCACACCTCTCCCCCGTTCTCCATCCCTCCTCACACCTCTCCCCCGTTCTTTCTCCATCCCTCGTCACACCTCTCCCCCGTTCTCCATCCCTCCCCACACCTCTCCCCCGTTCTCCATCCCTCCTCACACCTCTCCCCATTCTTCATCTCTCCTCACACCTCTCCCCCGTTCTTCATCCCTCCTCACACCTCTCCCCCGTTCTCCGTCCCTCCTCACACCTCTCCCCCGTTCTTCATCACTCCTCACACCTCTCCCCCGTTCTTCATCCCTCCCCACACCTCTCTCATGCGCCATGCCACCGCCACCAGGCCTTGTTTCTGTCCCATCGACCATCAGTGGCTGCACCTCCCTACTAGAGTTACACCTGGGGTACGTTCTGAGTTTCACCTGAGGCGCTGCGGTACACATGTGGCACGCCTATTAGCAGTTCAGCAACGTTGAGAAGGTTTCCTTACCGATGCTTAACCAAACACACCTTTCCTGCCTCCAATGCGTGGTCCCTGAATGCACCCTCTCTCGCCCTCTTTCCTCACCCCCCTTCTCGCTTGCTTTCTTCTCAGCCGTTCTTTATCCCGTTCATCTCCCTACCCACCTAATCCCTCCTCCCCCCTCTGTATACTCTCTTCGTTCCACACCTCCCCCGTTCCCCGACTTCCCCTCTCCTTGCTCGTTCTCACTGCTCGCCTTCCATGCTTCAGCCGCAACAAGCTGAAGCAGCTGCCAGAGGAAATCGGCCACCTGCCCTCTCTTGTTACTCTCTCCGTGCCCTCCAACAAAGTGCGTGCTCTCACATGCGTGTGGTGGGACACGCTTGCATGTCACGTGCTGTGTCTCACTCGTATGCTGTTCTTTATACTTTCTGTCTCACATGCACGCTGTGCCCCACGTGCAGTGCCCCACTGCTGTGTCTCACGTGCAGTGCCCTACTGCTTTGTCTCACTTGTTGCAGATCCCATGCTTTTCCCCCCTCTTTTTCCCCCTCTTTTGATCTTATTAGACCAATTATTGGCTTTCCCTCTTCCCCAATTGCTGCATTGCCAGGGCATCAGGCTCCGAATGTCTTGGGCGAAGACCTTAGACTCCCCACCCCGCCCACGCCCTTTTGCTCACTATTTCTCCTCCCTTTCTCTCTCCTTCCTTCCCTCCACCCTCCCATTCCCCCCTGTACCCTCCCCCCCTCTCCACATCTGGAGGAGCTTCCCCCGTCGCTGCGCTTTCTCAGCATCCAGACAATTGATGTTTCTGACAACGACCTCCTCATTCTGCCCTCTCATTCCCTTCTCCCCTCTGTGCCCCTGTTACCAGCTGGAGGAGCTTCCCCCGTCGCTGCGCCGTCTCAGCATCCAGGCTATTGATGTTTCTGACAATGACCTCCCCACCCTGCCCGCCTGGCTTGGTATGCCCAAACCTTCCCGACTGGCTCGGTATGCCGAGCCGAACCTGCCTGCCTGCCTTGCCACCGTGTCACATCATCAGAGAGCGCTGCAATATTGTGCCAGCTTTATTACTTCATGTGGTTGAGAGGATGCATGCATTGAACACGCTTCGCTCTCCACCCTCATCCCTTCCAATCCGCCGGGCAGCATGGCATCAAATACTTTTCGAAAAATAGCATATGTTAAGAACATGCATGAATACATGTCGGGTCGTTCGGACACACCACGCACATCTGCACCTCCGCTCTCCACTCTTCACTCTCATCCTGCTCCCACCTACAGGTAGCATGACATCGCTGCAGAGGGTTGCGGCAGCAGGCAATCCAATCCGAACAATCCGAAGGTATGATTGGTTCTCAACAACCTTACCTTTGAGAAGTTGCAAAGTCTACCTTACAGCCTTACCTTCTCAAATCTCTACGGCTTTCCCCCCACCTCTCCCCCCCCTGTTGCACTCTGATTTCTGATCAGCAACCTCATAGTCAACAATGCCTTACCTCATCCCTTTATCCCCATTCCTTTCCTCTTCTCACCCCCTCATCCCCGCATCACCTCATCCCCTCGACCTTCCCCTCAACATCACAGCACGCTCATCAACGGCCCAGCCAAGAACCTTCTAGACTACCTGCGCTCTCGCCTCCCTGCTGCTTCCACTGATGACCACGATTTAGGTGCGACCTGCCTCAGATACGACCTGCCTAGTTGGTTCTGTAGAGTTCTCAAGGACCAGCTAGATTTCTTCCCAACCTCCTCCTCCTTTCCCCATTTTTTTCCCCTCTCCTCCCTGCCTCCTGCTTCTTACCAGATACTGCCAACGCTGCTGCCCCTGCTGCACTGCGTGATCTGACTCTAGAATCATCGCCTGCTGCTGCTGCTGCTGCTGCTGCTGCTGCTGCTGCTGCTGCTGCTGTTGCTGTGACTGCTGCTGAGGCTGACACGGTGCCACAGACTTTGCTATCAAGGCAGAGCGAGGAGATAAAGAGTGGATTAGGAAACAGGGTGGAGAGAGAAGGAGAAGAGGGAGGGTTGGAGGAGGAGGGGGTTGCAGCGGCGGCTGCAGAAGCAGCAGTGGCAGAGCCATGGTTGAGGGAGTGCTTTGAGGGCGGGGTGAGTGGAAAGTGAAGCCAATTTCACTGAGAAATCTGGCTGGAAAATTTCGTCCTTATTCAGAGTGATCTTTGTACATTGCACAGCATCAACTGTGGAGTGACATGAGAACAAAATGAATCAGCTGACAACCCCTCGCCCCTCCTTCCCCTCCCATCCCCTCCTTCCCCTCCCCCTCCTTCCCGTCCTTCCCCTCCTTCCCCTCCTTCCCCTCCTTCCCCTCCCATCCCCACCCCACAGGCCCTCCAGCTGTCAAAGAAGGGCTTATCAGCGCTGCCACGTGGCATCGTGGCATTGGCCGCTGGTGACACCCCTCTGACGTCCATCAACGCGTCTCACAACGCCATCACCTCGCTGCCTTCCTTCCTCTCAGCCTGCACCTCCCTCGCTGTAAGCAAGCAAGCCCCATTTGATCGGCTATCCAAGTTTGTCACAAGTTTGTCACGAGTTTGTCACGAAGGATTACAGCAAACTTGTGATGGCTGGCTCCCTCGTGATGTAATCCTTCTTCTCGCGCTCACAGTTTCTCCCAGAATCCCACATCACGTCTTTCCATGGCTTATGAGTCGACTCAAAAGTCGGCTGGTTCCCCCCACCATCCCCCCACCATCCCCCCACCATCCCCCTCCACCATGCCCTTACAGGAGCTGGACCTGTCAACCAATAGGATCGCAGCCTGGCCTTCCCTCGCCCTGCACTCCCTCCCTTCGCTCCGCACGCTCTCTCTTGCCAGCAACCCCCTGGGACAGGTGGGGATAGGGGCAGATTGGGATGGGGCAGGTCAGGCTGGGGCGGGTGGGGCTGAGGCAGGTGAGTTTGAACTAGGCGGTATCGTATTTCAGAAGCTCCAAAGCAGGTGGGAAGGGATCACATGTAGAATGCACGTTTTGATTCTCTGCGCTCGCTCCCACAATGCTGCACCTTCTCCCTCACCACCAACCCCCTGGGGCAGGTGAGGCTGGGGCAGGTGAGGCTGGGCCAGGTGGGGCTGGGGCAGGTGGGGCTGGGGCTCGAAGGAACTTGCTCTTCATTGTTGGTCTTTCTTCCTTTGCTGACTTCTTCCCTCCCAACCCCCCCTGTCCCTTCTCCTCGTTCCCCACCCCTCCAGCTACCTCTGGCAGCACCACAGGACATCCCCTCGTTACAACGCTTGGATTTCTCCTGCTGCTGCTTTCCATCTCTCCTTGTTCCCTTCATCCATCTCTCCTTTTTCCCTTCATCCATCTCTCCTCTCCCTGCCGTCCCGCCTCTCCCCTCCAGATGCCCCTGACAGCACAGCAGGACATCTCCTCGTTGCAATGCTTGAACCTCCCCTGCTGCTGCCCGCCCTCCTCCTCCTTGTTCCTTCATCCGTCTCTCCTCTCCCTTCTCCCCGCTCCGTTCCCTCCATTTCCTCCTCTCCAGCTGCCACTGACAGCACCACAGGACATCTCCGCGTTGCAATGCTTGAACCTCTCCTGCTGCTCCTCACCCTCCTCCCCGCCACTGCTCGTGCCCTCCTTCTCCCTGGCCGCCCTTCCGCGCCTCACAGAGCTGCACCTCAGGTAGGAAAGGGAAGAGAGGTGAGCGGGCAGCGGGGTTGACTTTTTGAGGCGCCTCAAAAGGGAAGAGAGGTGAGCGGGCAGCGGGGTTGACTTTTGAGGCGCCTCAAAAGGGAAGAGAGGTGAGCGGGCAGCGGGGTTGACTTTTGAGGCGCCTCAAAAGGGAAGAGAGGTGAGCGGGCAGCGGGGTTGACTTTTGAGGCGCCTCAAAAGGGAAGAGAGGTGAGCGGGCAGCGGGGTTGACTTTTGAGGCGCCTCAAAAGGGAAGAGAGGTGAGCGGGCAGCGGGGTTGACTTTTGAGGCGCCTCAAAAGGGAAGAGAGGTGAGCGGGCAGCGGGGTTGACTTTTGAGGCGCCTCAAAAGGGAAGAGAGGTGAGCGGGCAGCGGGGTTGACTTTTGAGGCGCCTCAAAAGGGAAGAGAGGTGAGCGGGCAGCGGGGTTGACTTTTGAGGCGCCTCAAAAGGGAAGAGAGGTGAGCGGGCAGCGGGGTTGACTTTTGAGGCGCCTCAAAAGGGAAGAGAGGTGAGCGGGCAGCGGGGTTGACTTTTGAGGCGCCTCAAAAGGGAAGAGAGGTGAGCGGGCAGCGGGGTTGACTTTTGAGGCGCCTCAAAAGGGAAGAGAGGTGAGCGGGCAGCGGGGTTGACTTTTGAGGCGCCTCAAAAGGGAAGAGAGGTGAGCGGGCAGCGGGGTTGACTTTTGAGGCGCCTCAAAAGGGAAGAGAAGTGAGCGGGCAGCGGGGTTGACTTTTGAGGCGCCTCAAAAGGGAAGAGAGGTGAGCGGGCAGCGGGGTTGACTTTTGAGGCGCCTCAAAAGGGAAGAGAGGTGAGCGGGCAGCGGGGTTGACTTTTGAGGCGCCTCAAAAGGGAAGAGAGGTGAGCGGGCAGCGGGGTTGACTTTTGAGGCGCCTCAAAAGGGAAGAGAGGTGAGCGGGCAGCGGGGTTGACTTTTGAGGCGCCTCAAAAGGGAAGAGAGGTGAGCGGGCAGCGGGGTTGACTTTTGAGGCGCCTCAAAAGGGAAGAGAGGTGAGCGGGCAGCGGGGTTGACTTTTGAGGCGCCTCAAAAGGGAAGAGAGGTGAGCGGGCAGCGGGGTTGACTTTTGAGGCGCCTCAAAAGGGAAGAGAGGTGAGCGGGCAGCGGGGTTGACTTTTGAGGCGCCTCAAAAGGGAAGAGAGGTGAGCGGGCAGCGGGGTTGACTTTTGAGGCGCCTCAAAAGGGAAGAGAGGTGAGCGGGCAGCGGGGTTGACTTTTGAGGCGCCTCAAAAGGGAAGAGAGGTGAGCGGGCAGCGGGGTTGACTTTTGAGGCGCCTCAAAAGGGAAGAGAGGTGAGCGGGCAGCGGGGTTGACTTTTGAGGCGCCTCAAAAGGGAAGAGAGGTGAGCGGGCAGCGGGGTTGACTTTTGAGGCGCCTCAAAAGGGAAGAGAGGTGAGCGGGCAGCGGGGTTGACTTTTGAGGCGCCTCAAAAGGGAAGAGAGGTGAGCGGGCAGCGGGGTTGACTTTTGAGGCGCCTCAAAAGGGAAGAGAGGTGAGCGGGCAGCGGGGTTGACTTTTGAGGCGCCTCAAAAGGGAAGAGAGGTGAGCGGGCAGCGGGGTTGACTTTTGAGGCGCCTCAAAAGGGAAGAGAGGTGAGCGGGCAGCGGGGTTGACTTTTGAGGCGCCTCAAAAGGGAAGAGAGGTGAGCGGGCAGCGGGGTTGACTTTTGAGGCGCCTCAAAAGGGAAGAGAGGTGAGCGGGCAGCGGGGTTGACTTTTGAGGCGCCTCAAAAGGGAAGAGAGGTGAGCGGGCAGCGGGGTTGACTTTTGAGGCGCCTCAAAAGGGAAGAGAGGTGAGCGGGCAGCGGGGTTGACTTTTGAGGCGCCTCAAAAGGGAAGAGAGGTGAGCGGGCAGCGGGGTTGACTTTTGAGGCGCCTCAAAAGGGAAGAGAGGTGAGCGGGCAGCGGGGTTGACTTTTGAGGCGCCTCAAAAGGGAAGAGAGGTGAGCGGGCAGCGGGGTTGACTTTTGAGGCGCCTCAAAAGGGAAGAGAGGTGAGCGGGCAGCGGGGTTGACTTTTGAGGCGCCTCAAAAGGGAAGAGAGGTGAGCGGGCAGCGGGGTTGACTTTTGAGGCGCCTCAAAAGGGAAGAGAGGTGAGCGGGCAGCGGGGTTGACTTTTGAGGCGCCTCAAAAGGGAAGAGAGGTGAGCGGGCAGCGGGGTTGACTTTTGAGGCGCCTCAAAAGGGAAGAGAGGTGAGCGGGCAGCGGGGTTGACTTTTGAGGCGCCTCAAAAGGGAAGAGAGGTGAGCGGGCAGCGGGGTTGACTTTTGAGGCGCCTCAAAAGGGAAGAGAGGTGAGCGGGCAGCGGGGTTGACTTTTGAGGCGCCTCAAAAGGGAAGAGAGGTGAGCGGGCAGCGGGGTTGACTTTTGAGGCGCCTCAAAAGGGAAGAGAGGTGAGCGGGCAGCGGGGTTGACTTTTGAGGCGCCTCAAAAGGGAAGAGAGGTGAGCGGGCAGCGGGGTTGACTTTTGAGGCGCCTCAAAAGGGAAGAGAGGTGAGCGGGCAGCGGGGTTGACTTTTGAGGCGCCTCAAAAGGGAAGAGAGGTGAGCGGGCAGCGGGGTTGACTTTTGAGGCGCCTCAAAAGGGAAGAGAGGTGAGCGGGCAGCGGGGTTGACTTTTGAGGCGCCTCAAAAGGGAAGAGAGGTGAGCGGGCAGCGGGGTTGACTTTTGAGGCGCCTCAAAAGGGAAGAGAGGTGAGCGGGCAGCGGGGTTGACTTTTGAGGCGCCTCAAAAGGGAAGAGAGGTGAGCGGGCAGCGGGGTTGACTTTTGAGGCGCCTCAAAAGGGAAGAGAGGTGAGCGGGCAGCGGGGTTGACTTTTGAGGCGCCTCAAAAGGGAAGAGAGGTGAGCGGGCAGCGGGGTTGACTTTTGAGGCGCCTCAAAAGGGAAGAGAGGTGAGCGGGCAGCGGGGTTGACTTTTGAGGCGCCTCAAAAGGGAAGAGAGGTGAGCGGGCAGCGGGGTTGACTTTTGAGGCGCCTCAAAAGGGAAGAGAGGTGAGCGGGCAGCGGGGTTGACTTTTGAGGCGCCTCAAAAGGGAAGAGAGGTGAGCGGGCAGCGGGGTTGACTTTTGAGGCGCCTCAAAAGGGAAGAGAGGTGAGCGGGCAGCGGGGTTGGCGAACATTTAATGTTCTTAATGCCATCCTAAGGTTCTCCCTGGCCGGCTTTACCACGCCTCACATAGCTGCTCCGAAGGTAGGAGAAGTTATCAAAAGAGTTTTGGCACCTCTCAATACTCTCTGCCGCTGCTCGCGCCCTCCTTCTCCCTGGCCGCCCTTTCTCGCCTCACAGAGCTGCACCTCAGGTAGGGAAAGGTCTCAACAGTCGAGTTGACTCAGAAGTATTCTCCCCTGACCTGCACCCCGGGTAGGAAAGCGCGTCCTTGAGAGTGGTTTTTGAGAATTCTCAAAAACCTCTCGAAGGTCATCTCCTCCCCGCCACTGCCCGCGCTCTCCTTCTCCCTGGCCGCCCTTCCTCGCCTCACAGAGCTGCACCTCAGGTAGGGAAAGGTCTCAACAGTCGAGTTGACTCAGAAGTATTCTCCCCTGACCTGCACCCCGGGTAGGAAAGCGCGTCCTTGAGAGTGGTTTTTGAGAATTCTCAAAAACCTCTCGAAGGTCATCTCCTCCCCGCCACTGCCCGCGCTCTCCTTCTCCCTGGCCGCCCTTCCTCGCCTCACAGAGCTGCACCTCAGGTAGGGAAAGGTCTCAACAGTCGAGTTGACTCAGAAGTATTCTCCCCTGACCTGCACCCCGGGTAGGAAAGCGCGTCCTTGAGAGTGGTTTTTGAGAATTCTCAAAAACCTCTCGAAGGTCATCTCCTCCCCGCCACTGCCCGCGCTCTCCTTCTCCCTGGCCGCCCTTCCTCGCCTCACAGAGCTGCACCTCAGGTAGGCAAAGGTCTCAACAGTCGAGTTGACTCAGAAGTATTCTCCCCTGACCTGCACCCCGGGTAGGAAAGCGCGTCCTTGAGAGTGGTTTTTGAGAATTCTCAAAAACCTCTCGAAGGTCATCTCCTCCCCGCCACTGCCCGCGCTCTCCTTCTCCCTGGCCGCCCTTCCTCGCCTCACAGAGCTGCTCCTCAGGTAGGAGATGGTTTCAACAGGCTCTCCTCTACTCTCTCACCTGCTCGCACCCTCCTTCTCCCTGGCCGCCCTTCCCCACCTCACAGAGTTGCACCTCAGGTAGGGAATGGTTGGTGTGCTTGAAAGCTCTCAAAAGGTGATATCGAGTCGACTGGGAGGGAGTCTCGTCCCCGCCACTGCTCGCGCCCTCCTTCTCGCTGGCCGACCTTCCTCGCCTCACAGAGCTCCACCTGAGCCTTAGAAAGGCGTGCTTGAGAGTTCTCAAAGGTGATTTAGGGTTGACCCTACGATTCTTCCTGGCCGCCCTTCCTCGCGTCTCAGAGCTGCACCTCAGGTAGGGGATGTTAGAGAGGTGAAAGGGCTGGCGAGCATGTAAGGCTCTCCTTGGGCGGACTAATCAGCTGAACCAATCAGACTGCCTTATCAGAATGACACAGCTGCAGCTGCATCTAAGGCAAAGCCGTTCATTTTGAAAGTCTTTCCCTAAAAAAAACTGCAGGTAGAAGCACGCTGGGGTGGATGTGAACTTGCATGGTTCACCCCACGAAACAAGCTCAGTAGTAGGGGTGTGAATGTGAGCAGTGTGGGGTGAACGTAGATGTGAGAACTGCCAAGGCTCTTCCTGGCTGGCCTTCTTTGTCCCGATGTGACTTTTGAGTCGACTCAAAAGTAGTAGAGGTGTGAATGTGAGCAGTGCGGGGTGAACTGGCAAGGCTCTTCATGGGATGTGACTAGTTTTGAGTCGACTCAAAACTAGAATCAAAACTAGTTTTGAGTCGACTCGAAACAAGCTCAGTAGTAGAGGTGTGAATGTGAGCAGCGTGGGGTGAACCGCCAAGGCTCTTCATGGGATGTGAGCCTTCTTTGCCCCATCCCATGTCTCGCCCATCCCTTGTCTCGCCCATCCCATGTCTCGCCCATCCCATGTCTCGCCCATCCCATGTCTCGCCCATCCCATGTCTCGCCCATCCCTGTGCCACATCCGTCCGTTTTCTGAAGCTGCCATGTCGCCACTCTGCTCTACAACCACTGTACCGCATCGTGCCGCACTGAACTGCATCTCACCTCCTCTCATCTCCTTCCATGTCCTTTATCTGCCAGGGGAAATCGCCTCACTGCCTTTCCTGGAGGCTTTGAATCTCTCCTCTCCCTGCGAGTTCTCAACCTCTCCCAGAATCAAATTGAATCCATACCCGTTGTAAGCATGCCTGGCCACTATTTTACTATCACCGTTTCGCCGTCAAGTTTAAAAAACACTCCACTGTGACTTGCTACAAGCACATTATACTGTACGCCTTACAAGCACCCATATGCAGTTTCTCCGTGTCGCATTGCGCAGTTTGCCTCATGTTTCACTCGCGTGATGCTATACCTGCGAGTTGTTGTTGCAGCCTTGTTATAATCATTTAGCCTGGTACTTGTGTAACCTGGCTACATTTTGTAACCTGATTATTGTGTAATTTAATTATTGTGTAACCTGATTACTGTGCAATGACTGCCTGAATCCACTCCAGGAAGTGACCCAGCTGACTCGACTGGAGACTCTCGATGTGTCGGACAACAATATCCCCATGCTGCCTCCCAAACTCGTGAGTCTGTTACTCTCACCTTCCCTGCTGCTGCCTTTGGAGGTGCCTCAAAAAAAGTGACAACAACATTCTCATGCTGCTACCCAAGCTTGTGAGTATGTTTTTTTCTCGTTCTGATGGAGGTGTGTAGTCGTCTGTACTGCTGTGAGTAGGTCTGTTGCGAGAGTACTCAAAAGGCATTCTCGACGTGTCGGACAATAACATTCCCATGCTGCCACCACTGTGGACAATGACCGTGACACTGCTACTGTTCCTGCTGCTGAGGCTTCTGGTGTTTTTGCAGTGACTCGACTCTCTCTCAGCTTTCCAAGAAGAGTCATTCCCACTGTTTTCTTTCATTCCCCTCCTTCTGTTCATCCACACTTTGCTTAGGACCCCCTCGCTCTCTCTCTCTCCCTCACATCTCCTTGGGTAGAATGCAAGCCCTTCATTTCGTAATGCCTTTCGATCCCTTCGTTCTCTGCTTTTGCTTCCGTACCTCCCATTTCCGCCTTGCTCTCCCATGCAGGGCTTGATGAAGACTCTCTCTCTCCTTCGAGTCGACGGCAACCCCATTCGCACGTGAGATGCCTTGGCCTCTTGCTCTTTCTGAAGCACTTTCCTAGTAATCACTAAACTCGCGACAATGAGCTGGTTTTTGAAATTTCTAAAATAAAAACCAAGATGCCGTGGCTGCTCACTCTTTTTGAAGCGGTTCCTAACAATTCATAATCTCGTGCCAACAAAATCGCATGGCACGAGATGATTCCAAACCCTCACTCTGTCCCTCCATGCCATTCCATGCCCTCTCCCCCTCCCATATGCCTACTGTACGGTGAGCAGTATCAGGTGGAGCATCATAAGCGGTGGCACCAAATGGCTTTTGGCGTACCTTGAAGACCGCATCCCTGCTTGAAATGATAGCACCACAAAGGTCAAAAACTGAAACTTCTCTATGTCCTTCCTCTCTCTCTCTTGCCCCACAAGCAGTATCAGGTGGAGCATCATAAGCGGTGGCACCAAAGCGCTTTTGGCGTACCTTGAAGACCGCATCCCTACTTGAAGTCTACCCCCTAATGCCCCACCCCCGAGTTCTGAGACGACTCAAAGTTTTGTGAGATGTCTCAAAAATCAGGTGGAGCATCATAAGCGGTGGCAGTGGCACCAAGCGCTTTTGGCATAGCTTGAAGACCGCATCCCTGCTTGATATTATCCCACAAAAACAATTAAAGAAGCAAGCAAGGGGCCGGGAGGGTTGGGGGAAAGAGGAGGGGGGGGGCGGGGGGGGGGGGGGGAGGAAGTGAAACTGCAAGGTGCATGAAACGCATATGCTCTGAAGCACGTATCAGGCCTTGTTCATGACCTCTTACAACCACCCTATTGGTTCGTGGCCAGTCAGCATACACACGTTTGCCAGCTCTGCAAAACGTTCACACCGAGGGATTCCCCTGACAAAGGACCATTGTGAATCTTAGCTTGTGCACTATTGTGTTTTCTTCGACCTGCATGGCACAAGCACTTTTTTCTGGAATTTCCCATTGAAAATGATCCTTGTTTTGAATCCTCTGTGGAAGCTTAGGAAAGTACAGGCAACACATTGTTGATGATCCTTGTGGTGAACCCTCTTTGGAAGCTTTGGAAAGTAGTCACTTGAACGGATGTGTGAAAACGTCGAAGTGGAAGCTAGTAAAGCCTAAGAAACTAAATCACTTGTAACGAGAACACAAACGAGAAGCCATACGGTAGTTGTAGGAGCATAACGAGAACAGAACCTAATGCCCACACGGGTTATGCAGTTTGTTTTAGCCCAGAACTGACCGGATATGAGCAAAATCTAGAACTACCTCCGAGGATTCTGATCTGAATTCAACGACTTCGGGTTTTTGGGTTTAGCCCTCTCTCCCTCCAAGGAGCCCTCTGGGCACCACCTCTCTTTCCCGCTTCCTCACTCCCCGTACCTACGGTGAGAAACATGGTTCCGAACTCCAAGTTCCCACGCACTTTGGAACACATTTGCAGCACTTTTAGCCGAAATCTAAAGAGCTATCACTTGTTCCAATACTCCCAATGTCTCACGAGTGTTGGACATGTATATCGGAAGATTTTTTGCTGGCCCTGATTTCCTAGAGCGTCTTATGGTACTGTACTCTGATTTTCCAGGGAAATGTTTCAGGGGTGCTCTTTTCCGTCCAAGCAGGATAAGAAATATAGTCCTGGTCATGACCACCATCAACGGCGGTGCAAGCTTGATTACAGCTGACTTCGTAAGTGAGGAGGCCTCACTTCACAATCCGAGCAAGAAAATTGATATTCCCTGTCTGTCAAGAGGATCTTCTATTGACGAGCGTTTCTACTAGAGTCCGTCAACTCTCTGTCAGGCAGGAATCTAACGAGGCACTTGTCGGGGTTTCCTTCCAAATAGAGGCCTATATAGATCTCCCTGCTCAACACTTGAGAAGCCCAGTATGCACTGTACCGATGGATATGGCATGTGAAAAAAACTCGTTTGTTGACGCGGAGCAAAAACTCGTAAATCACTTCCCAGTTGCCTGCCTTCTGCCAAGGCACATCGGCACGACTGCTCACATCATGGAGCCGCAATCCTCTACATCGAGTCGCGTCTGGGGGAAATCGCACGAAATTCTCGTCCAGCTAGCGAAGGAATGTCTCGCACCTCCCGTGAGTGAAGAGACGTGTCGATACGGCTCACCCAGGTTACTTAAGGTTTATAGCACTGAAATGCTGATACAAATCGGTTTAGGGTATGAAGAGAAATCAAGCATCTCGTGCAGGAAGAAATCGAGTTATTTTGAACAAAACTCGGCCGGAAGTTTCTGCTTTCACACCACACATGAACATGCAGCATGAACAGTCTCATTTTAGAATGTAAACTGTGGTAGGCACAAGGACAGGAAACCAAGAAAGGCGTGTGAATCAGCCACAGGTAGAGGGAGGGAGCGAGCTAGATGCACCAGTTGCCGCTGCTGCGTTGTCGCGTAGGCCGAAAGGGCTCTTTCTTGAAAAAGGCACCACTTGTACTACTTGGTGTAGTACGGTCGCACCACGCTCGGAGCGTCGCGGGCACGGTGAGGTGTCAAATGTTGGTCATGATGTCTTCTTCTGACCACCGACTTCAGCACGAATGACTGACCATTACTTGTTGTAGTGAGGCCGCATTGCACCCAGTTGCTTCTATTTATTTCGTCAGCCTAGCGTATCGCCACGCTAACGTCAACCGTCGAGTTACCGTCGAAGCTAAAAAACTCAACATATCGTCAAGCTCGCACCGAGTCCGGTGTCGCACGTCGCGTCGCGGCTCCTCCATTTCCCACTCATCATGCCGACGCGCGCCCAGGGTCCCGTGGGCCTCGCTCAGCAGCACACGCCGAGCTTCGCGCCGTTTCAGCCGCTCGAAGTCTCTACGGCGAGCTTAGAGACGTCTCAGAGCCCCGGAGGCCTTCCCCAACAGCGGACGGGCTTCGCGCCGTTTCAACCGCCGCCAATCTCGCGGCATTACAACGCCGCCGCATTCGGTACCGTACCGCGCGCAGGCTCTCATTCGCCGCGGCGCCAGCTCGAAGCGCTCGCGCCTCCGACGGCCTCGTGCGGCTCGAGTCCAGGGAGAATTCCCGCCGCGTGCTTCCGCGGTGCGCAGAACCCTTGTGGCGGAAGCTCCCCCGCGTTCTCCCCGCGTACGCCGGCGCTGGAGACGGGCGGAGGGATCATCATGGGCCCGCCAGCGGCGCCGCTAGCGGCGCTACTGCCCGCGGGATCATCGCGGCTATCGTTCACCGGCGCGCCTCAACCGTACTACGTCCCGGCGCTTCTGCAATCGGCGAGAAGCAGCGCGGCGGAGATGTTTCACTTTCCGCGGTCGCCAAGTACGGACTCCGACGACCTTTACCCAGGTGTGTATTTGGACGCTCTCTGTATTCTGGAGTCGACTCAAGGCTATCCGTGGTTTTTTATGTTCGTGCTATCATCATGATGATGATAATCTTATGTGATTTTGAGGCGCCTCATAAATCATCTCGAGAATAGTATCCGTACCTTCACATTATGATGATGATGATGATATTTATGCTGCACACTGAAGCCGTCGAAGCTTAATATATCCAAAGCTGAAGTCTGAACGTTTTCCGACACGCTGTTTTCCGTTCTGCTGTTATTTCGACCTTCCCCGCGTTCTGATATGTACTCCTCCCTGCTCCTATCCCGACCTGCTCTGTCGCACATTCCCAATCACAGACTCACCGCAAACAGATTGTCTTGTGAGGCAAATGGCTGCTCCTAGCATGCCTCCTCGTCACTCGGAGGGATTTTCTTACCACGCGCCAGGCCACGCGTCGCACCATCGCCGTTCGCGAAGCAGCATGAGCGACGAGCTGGCGAATAGTAATCCAGCGGGTTACCACCTTTCCAGCGAGCTGCAGCAGCAGCCGTGCGAGTTCACCCACTGCCTCACCTGGCAGGGGGTGCCTAGGGGAGACAGCAACGAAGGAACAGGGCCAGGTGGTAACCACCATGTGACGTCATATGACGCCCCAGTGGTAACCACCATTGCTGGTAACGTTACTGTGGCGAGTGTTTCTGCCAGTCCGGGTGGTTTGGCTTCCGACAAACGGGGATC